GAGCAGGGAGCCTGATGTGGGGCTCGATCCCAGGACCCTGGGATCATGACCTGAGCCGAAGGCAGACACTTAACGACTGAGCCACCCAGGTGCCCTCCTGGGACTATTCTTGGCCTGTAAAATGGCATTGAATTATCTGATGAACTATTTCTCACTGAGGTATTAGTGACTAACTGTGTTCCTCCTCTACTTCTTCTAGAATATTTGCATTTTGTTAACAGAACCTTTGGAGACCCTCCACCATAATACACAGCCATACATCGGATGGAGAAACTTTAGTCCAGCAAAGGATACACTTCAAAGGTTGAACTTTGAGAATCGTTGATTGTCTTGTGCCAGTCGCTTGATATCTACTGAGGCTGTGCATTTGACTGGTCTTGGTGACATAACTTTGATTAGAAAGCTCTGCTCTATGAGGCAGAACACAGACTGTCCCCAGAATTCTCCTGGTAAAGTGTCCTGCCTGATGGAGTCCTAATGGAATTCCTTTTATCCAGCATCACTTAAGGAGGACTTCTGCTCCCCATCTGAAGTCATCTCTCCAGCTGTGCTGGTGGTGACCTCACACATATACCTGAGAGACAAGTCTTATGCCCTCTGTTCCTGTTATTTCCTAGGTTTGGGCAGGAAAGTGTTCTAAGAGATAACCCTGTTTATAAAGGGTACCATTTACAGCACAGCACAAGCTCTGCAGTGCAAATTCTGGTTTGATTTCTGGCTTTATTGCTTTTTTTTTTTAGAGAGAGAGAGAGCACACAAGTGGTGGGGGAGGGAGACAGAGAATCTCAAGCAGACTTCCTGCCGAGCACACAGCCTGACGCAGGGCTCGATCCCAGGACCCTGAGATCATGACCTAAGCTGAAACCAAGAGGACGCCCCTGGCTTTATTGCTTATTATTTGCATGACCTTGAAGTCTCAGTCTCCAAATTTTATTTTCTCTTCTGCAAATTGGGAAGGGGGAGGTGGTTGGGTAGAAGTAATATCAGCCTCATAAAGGTGTTTTGAGAATTCTTAGTTATTGTGAGAATTAAATGAGACTGTCCATGCAAAGATCTTAGCATGATGCCTAGCATGCAAACCCTCAATGAATGACTGCTATTATTATTACTATTATGATGATTATTATTATTGCTACCACCACTAAATTTGTTACGGCCCCTCCAGTCCTGATAGCTTAGAGAAAGTGCTGGTGCTCCTTCCCAGACTCTGCAAGGCACTGCCCAGGGAGTGGCCTGAGCAATGGGAGAATCCAGCAGAACAGGTTTTTTCAAAGCAGTGGAAAGTAGATCAAAGGCAAATCACCCAAACCTGGAAAAAGAATGTATTCCTTTGTTTGTTCTGTACTAGTTGTGAAAAAACTTTCAAAATGTAACTTATGCTAGAATAAAAATTGTGGCCGCTCTTGAGGTAACATGACTGAGCCTCTCCAGTCTGTGTTCTTCCTGACCCCCGAGGACAGACGGGGGCCACTTTGAGTTTCGGCTGAGCATGGTGATGGCTGACGGTGTTCTGTGATGATGTTGCCTACAGTAAGGAGTAGCAAGCTTAGCCGTCAGCAAACATGCAGAGACAGCAGAGATGGTGGAGTGGGGAGCTCCACACCCAGAGGCAAAGTATACCTATGCCTTGCTGCAGATTGCTCATCACCCAATGTGAAATTTCATGGGACTTGGTTAGGCCTCTTGGCTGAAAATAACAGAAGCCCAACTCATACTATCTCAAGCAAAAGGGAGGATTTATTCTAAAGATTCCACACTGTATCAAGGAAAACAAGGCAAGAGGCAGACTGATCTGGGATTGAAACCCAGCCCTCAAATTTTGCCAACTTGTGTCTCTCTTCTCTGTGTTAGTCTTCTCTCTTTCTACAGACTCACTTCCTCTGAGGCTTTGGTTGACATATTGGAACAACAGCTCACAAGTTTTGTAAATGCAGTCATCCAAAGAAAGCCTGGTCTCACTTTCTCCAATTCCAGAATTTCTATGGCAGGAACTGATTGGCCCAGTTGAGGTCAGGTTCCTTTCTCTGATTACCATTCGGCAATGGGAAAAGGTAAAAACCGGTTAGAAGAGCCTGGGGCATCCACTCTAACTATATACTGCTTGTGAGTGAGCAAAACCACGATAAGGGATTATTGAAATAGGGATTGATGAGCTACATGACAAGAAACATGCTGTTCACATTTGGCCCTATAACTGCATCCTGGCCATTCCCAGATTCCTCTCATTTCACTGGAGATTTGGGATGTCTGTCTGCTCACTGCCCTTGGTCCCTTCCCGCTGGGCAGACCCTAGCCCTGAACAAGCCGATTGCAGCATAATATAGTGGTAATGGCACAGGCTGTAGAATCACACAGACCTTGAGTCAAAGCCCAGGTCTGCCGCTGACTAGCTGTGTGACACTGGGCAAGTTACTTAGCCTCTCTGAGCCTTAGTCTCCTTATCTGTAAAATAATAGCTCTAAAATAATACGTATCAAATCTGGTTGTTGTAAAGATTAAGAAAAATAAAGTAACCGTACTTAAAATACTTGGCATGTAATAGATGCTCAGTTATGTCAATTTCACTTTCTAATTAGGTTACCTAGAAATCTTCAGGAGGGTGGAGGAGTGGTAGCAAGTGAAAAGGGAGAAAAAGAAAAGTGGTAGCATTTTGTATCTGGGAAGTATCCTGCCTCAGGTATTTTACAATTATCCTGAGCAAACATTAAATAATTTAAGTGGGTCAGCTGCACTGGGAGAGCCATGCTTGAATAGATATAGCCTCTCACTTGAGAGGCAAACCAACAAGGATCTCAAGATCAATGGTGAATGTTTGTTTCTCATTAATTTACTGGTATGACTGTACGGTCCTTATTTCTTTCCCTATAATATCTAAAGTCCATGTAATGCAATCTAATCACTGAGTTAGTGAATGAAGTGCTTTAACATTTGATTGTGACTATTGCGGTTTGGAGAGGCTCTCCTCTTTGAGAATGTAGTAAGTAATTTTTTTTTTTTTTATAATTTATTGAGTTCTGATGATAGCAAGCACTGTGCTAAACTTCTACATGCATTGTCTCATTTCTTCCTATGAATTCAGTGCTATCGCCCCCATTTTCCAGATAACGAAATTGAGGCTTGGGTACGTAGAGTGGCAAGATCACTCAGCACTCAGTGATAGAACAGGAATTTGAGCTCAGCTTAGCCAGCTCCCGAGCCTGAGTTCTTAATGCGCAGTACTGGTTCTCTGCACCTTGGTTTTGGTTTTAAGTTTTCGAGACAGGCAACATAAGAAATGAATCCCCAGGAAAATCTGTGCTTAGAATGTCTCATTTGATAAAGGATAATCTCACAGCGTTCGTGCACCCACACGACGTTGCTGAAGGGGCTTGGATGCAAAGCCGCGGAATTACAGGAAGAAAAATAGTAGAATAACAGATACACTATCTCCTTGGATACAACAACTCTTCTGATTACCTACTTAGAGGATAATAGCGATGAAGGGTTTCGCAGATGAATCCGTGAAAAAGAGAAACTGGAAATTGTGTCCCACCTTTAGACTCTTCAGCGTTTCCCATCTTAGTCAGAATTGTGCTCATTCCAGTTGTCTGTTGCTGTGTGGGGTCGTGTGTGCATGTGTGTGGAATATTTTGGCCTGCTCCAGAAAACCACATTTGGTGACCAATTGTAGGTATTATCAATGACTCCTGATGATATGTGAAGTATTTTCCGTCCATTGACCTCTGTACCGATAACGGGAACCAACGTGATCTCTAATCACAAACTGACCTGTTCTTCCAGAAACCATTTATTCTGTTTGGTGAGTTTCATTATATTCCAGACTGTGCTTCATGTGTACCTTTTTCTTTTTGAATTCATCCTGTGTGTAAACGGAAAAAAAAAAAAAAAACATTTAAATATCATGTCTCTTTTGACTAAAAGCATATCTGGATTAATATCTCATATTTTTCTTTTTCATTCTCTGTTTTCAGCTCCAGGGTTCCTTGAAAAGAAAACAGGTGGTTAACCTGTCTCCTGTCAACAGTAAGAGGCCCAATGGCTTTGTTGATAACTCATTCCTTGATATCAAGAGAATCCGCGTCGGGGAGAACCTCTCTGCAGGACAAGGGGGCCTCCAAGTAAATAATGGACAAAATCAGATTATGTCAGGGAGCTTGCCCATGAGCCAAGCACCCCTGCGGAAGACTAACACTCTGCCACCCCATACACATCCTCCTGGAAATGGTATCTTTAATATGGGCTTAAAGGAAGTGAAGAAGGAACCAGGAGAGACTCTATCTTGCAGTAAGCACATGGATGGCCAGATGACCCAGGAGAGCATGTTTTCCAATAGGTACGGAGAGGACCCTGTAGAGCAGCTGATGGACCCAGAGCTGCAGGAACTGTTCAATGAACTGACCAACATATCTGTGCCTCCCATGAGTGACCTGGAGCTGGAGAACATGATCAATGCCACCATCAAGCAGGATGACCCATTTAACATTGACTTGGGTCAGCAAAGCCAGAGGAGCACTCCCAGGCCCTCCTTGCCCATGGAGAAGACAGTGATCAAGAGTGAATACTCCCCGGGCCTAACCCAGGGCCCCTCGGGCTCCCCTCAGCTGAGGCCCCCATCAGCTGGCCCTGCATTCTCCATGGCCAACTCCGGGCTCTCCGCTTCCTCCCCGGTCCCTTCTGTCCCTCAGAGCCAGGCTCAGCCTCAGACAGCCTCGGGAGCGAGCCGGGCCCTGCCGAGCTGGCAGGAAGTATCCCACGCCCAGCAGCTCAAGCAGATCGCGGCCAACCGTCAGCAGCATGCCCGGCTGCAGCAGCACCAGCCTACCACCTGGTCGGCCTTGCCCTCCTCCACTGGGCCATCGCCAGGTCCGTTTGGGCAGGAGAAAATCCCCAGCCCTTCTTTCGGTCAGCAGCCATTCAGCCCGCAGAGCTCCCCGATGCCTGGGGTGGCGGGCGGCGGCAGCCAGTCGAAGGTGATGGCTAACTACATGTACAAGGCCAGCCCGTCGGCCCAGGGAGGGCACCTGGACGTGCTCATGCAGCAGAAGCCTCAGGATCTCAGTCGGAGTTTCATGAACGCCCCGCACACAGCCATGGAGCCCCGGCATGGCAACACTAAGCCTTTGTTCCATTTTAACTCAGATCAAGCAAGCCCGCAGATGCCTTCCGTTTTGCCTTCCCAGGCTAAGCCATCTCTCCTGCACTAC